TTCACCACCACTGCCTTAGGCCAATCCCTCTCTCACAGCTTAACCAGCATCCAAACAAATGAGCACTTGGTTTTTTTCTCTAAGACCCAGCATAGCTGCCTTTCCTTTTTATTTTATAATTCTGGTGCACCAGACACCATACTACATATTGGAATTATGGACAGGCTTGATTTGTAACATGGTTTAGCTAATTATGAGGTTCAGTGGCTTCTGTAATTGCAGCCATCTCAAGCCTGATACTAATCCATCTACATCTTTCTGAGTCCAAGCACAGAAAAGAAGCAATATATGCAACCAGAGTGAATGATTGGGACCCAACTGTATTTTATTATCCCTAGAATATCTTCAGGATTGAATCAGTCAGGCTAAATTCATTAGGAAGCTGAAGATAACTCATTCCATGAATATTTTTCTCCTTGTAAAAACCAATGCAGATAACGTTCCAAGTTCTGACACTTATTTCTGGCTATTTCTGCACTGAGGTTGACAGTCTTCTTTCTGGGAGGAAAACCACATTTAAATTCTGCCACTAGCATAGAAAGAATAATACTTGATGAAGATGGTAAGGACAAGTTATAAAACAATTCATCCATGGTGGAGCAATTTATTTCCCAGGAAAAACTTGCAAGGAAGAATTGAAGGGACTTGCAAATTTCATAGGATGGGTCATGTTCCAAATAACAAACTGTGGATAGCAAGAGTGACAGGTTTGCTCAGATGGATTTAGAGAACTTAATACAAAGAAGCTAAATCCAAGTGAGAAGAAAGACTACAAGATTTCTTGTGGAGCAGTGAAAACAATCCAGGTTTTACTGGATTGTTTTCTTATATAGAGAAATTTTGTAGCACCTTTGAGACTAACTGAAAAAAAGAAGTTTGTAGCATTTTGTAGGTGCTACAAAATATATATATTAATTCTACAGATTAATATAGCTATATCTTTAAATTCTACCACTATGGATTGTTTCCTGTGAGCCATTGACAATCAATATCTCATTTAAAGTATGAACTAAAAGAAGGAGTGGATTCACTACTCTTCCAAAATGGGAGCCAACAGTCACCACTGAAGGCCAACCCTACCATTCAGCAGAGTGAGGCAGTTGCCTTGGGTAGGAAGTGCTGGATGGTAGACAAGGAGCAACAGCTTCAGAATCTTGGTTGAAGGAAACAGATGTTAGGAATGGGAAAGCACAAAAACCAGTTGCAAAACATGACAACCTTCCTGGGCCTCATAACAATGGTCCTTGAACAAACGAATCACAAAGGTAGTTTGGAAATAGCAGAATTGAAATGTATCCACAAACTGCAGTCCATCAGCAGTGGGTTGAACAGAGACAATGGTTTCCTGGCACACTACACATATTTCAACACTATCTAACTCCCACCCGCATGGGGATGCCCTTGACCAATTCATCACATGTCCTCCCTGGTTTCTGCACTACATTCCTATACTTATTCATATGGTTATCTACTCTCCTTGGCTTTAGGCAATGTCCTTCTTCCTGCCTTTCCCCCTCAACCACCATAATTAAAACTGAACTTGTCACCTCATCTCCATACCCACAAGGTTTTGAATTTTTTGTGAATAATCTTTATTCACAATCAAAACATACAAAACATTCACATACATATAAAACCTCAGCACATATAATTTACATACTATATATCTACATACAACTTTGTCTTCCCTTGTTCATCTTCTTCACTAAATGATCTATTGGAATATCTTTTTAATCAGCTATCTACTAATCATTCTTCCTTTCCCTGCTTATTTTCTTTAACCTTCCTACCTCACCCATCCTTTGTACTTTTCTGTCAAATTACTCAGGTTGTGTATATTATCCTAAGTATATACATTTTAATTAACCCATTCCCTGATCTTCTAATATATAGTATCTTTAATTAACTTGCACTAATAATTTGAATTTCAATTGACATTCTCTTATACAGGTCTGTCTCTGGACTCTCCACTCTACTTCATGCATCTGAGGAACAAGGCTCAAGTCTGGGAAAGTTCATGCTATTAGCTTCCTTCTTTCAGTTAGTCTTAGGGCCTCGGCAGACAGCTTATTGAGCCGTCTCCGAGGCCAGGAAGAGGAGGAGCAGCTGCACGCGTGGCGCTCCTTCCTCTCCCTGAGGTCGTCCTCAGAGCCGCCAGCCCTCTGCACGGCCGGCGCTCCGGGGATGACCTCCCACCGCAGCGACTGGACGCGCTGCAGCGGAAAAGACAGGGAAAGTGCGCCCTACGCTTTTAGGGCGCACTTTCCCTGTCTTATGGAAGGAGCACTGATTTAGCGCTCCTTCCAGGGTCGCTGCAGGAGCGCCGCGGTGCGGCTGCCATGGCCCCGCGGCGCTCCGGAACAGGGCGTCCTGGATGCCCTGGTCTGCAGAGGCCCTTAAAAGTGCTACAAGATCCCTTTGCATACTGAAAATCCTGGCTATGGAATACAGCTGCGTATTCCAGGCCATGGTGCACTTCATAGCAGTGGCAGCTGGTGGATATCAGAGAACACCATAATAGAATCATAGAATCATACAGTTTGAAGAAACCCCAAGGGCCATCCAGTCCAACCCCCTGCCATGAACAATCAAAGCACTCCCAATAAAGAGCCCTCCAACCCCTGCTTAAAAACCTCCAAAGAAGGAGATTCCATCACATCCTGAGACATTATAGTCCACTGTTGAACAGTTCTTACTATCAGGATTATTTTTCCTAATGTTTAGGTGGAATCTCTTTTACTGCACCTTGAATCCATTGCTCCAGGTCCTGGTCTCTGGAGGAGCAGAAAACAAGCTTGCTCCATCCTCAATATGACATCCCTTCAAATAGTTAAATATGGCTACCATGTCACTTCTTAACCTTCTCTTCTACAAGCTAAACATATCCAGCTCCCTAAGTCGCTCCTCCTTTCCAAATCTTTCACCATTTTCATTTCCCTCTTCTGGACATGCTTCAGCTTGTCAATATCCTTCTTGAACTGTGGTTTCCAAAACTGCACACAATATTTCAGGTGAGGTCTGATCAAAGCAAAATAGAGTGGCACTATTAATTCCCTCAGTCTAGTCACTACACTCCTATGGATGCAGCCTAGGGTCATCTTGACTTTTATAGCTGCATCTCACTGTTGACTCATTTTCAGCTTGTAGTCTACTAAGGGCCGATGCAGATGGCCAAGAAGGGGTTGCTCTGAGCTGTCCCTGGGAGTGGCGGATTGGGGCCGCAGCAATCAAAAGTCACAGCCCCAATCGTCCTTTTTGCTACCCCCAAAAAAGTGACAAAATGTCACTCCTTTTGGGGGTGGCAAAATGCCACCCTTAGAACCACCACTGTGGCTCTTTTTCACCCTGACGCCGCGTGCCCAACTCCACCCCCAGGCCACCCTAACCTGCATCAGCCCTAAGACTCCTAGGTCCCTTTTACATGTACTGTTATCTAGCCAGGTGTCACCAATCCTATATCTGAGCCTCTTTTTTTATGCCCAAGTGTAATATTTTATATTTATCTCTTTATATTATATTCATTTTATTAGTTTTGGCCCAACTATCTAATCTGTTAAGATCATTTTGAATTCTGATCCTGTCCACTGAGATATTAGTTGCCCCTCCTAATTTTGTGTCATCTGAAATTTGATTAACATGCCTTCTATTCCATCATCCAAGTCATTGATAAAGATGTTGAAAAGTACTGGCCCCAGGACAGAACCCTATGGCACCCCACTAGTCAGTTCTTTCTAGGATGAAGAAGAGCCATTGGTGAACACTGCTTGGTTTCAGTCTGTCGATCATGTACATGGCACAGTCAGTAACCATATTTTGGGGACAAGGTTCAGCACCTTGGATAAAATTTGCACAAAAATCCACTGCAGATTCAACACTTCCCCTGACACTAGCCGACACCATCCCCCAGTTTAGAAGATAAGTGTTCCATCACTCAGTATACAAAGAAGATTCAACAACCAGCCAGTCCAGTCAATTTCTGTAGACAAATTTTGACTTTCATCTCGGGAAGCAAAATATCTAGAGCTGTCCGTGGGTTTCTTTCCACTTACTTGAATGAGCATTGAACACTACTCCAGGCCATGATATTTCCAATTTTTATGTATGATTGTAAAAGCTGGACAGTGAAGAAAGCTGACAGGAAGGAAACCAACTTATTTGAAATATGACACTGAAGGAGAGTTGAATGGATACTGTGGATACAAAAAAGACCAACACATGAGTCTTAGAGCAGATCAAGTCTTTGCTGTCACCAGAAATAAAGATGATTAAACCGAGGCTTCATACTGGACATATAATACTAGAAATAACAATGATGCTTAGTAAAGGAGGAGGCAGCAGGAAAAGAAGACAAGAACACTGTTGAGTTGATTCAATCAAGGAAGCTACAGTCCTGAGATTGCAAGACTGCACAGGGCAGTTATAACCAGGGATCTTGGGAGGTCTCTCATCCATACAGTAATCATAAGTTGGAGTAGACTTGATAGCAACAGAGAAGCGGGGAAGACACTCCAGAACAATTGGGATCCCAACAGATAGGCATCCACTGGTTGAGCTCTGGGAGATTAGCAATAGATTTGCAACATTTCTGATTCCCAGCCTAAGTTATAATATTGAAATAATAAAAGCTCAAAATAAAAAGGAATCAGTTCTTATGCAAAGGAACTATCTATGACATATATTTCTAATACTCAAAACAAATTCCAGAGCTTTGGATTCTTTGATTCTGTGACCTTTGCAACAGATTCTGGTTGATGCATCACTGGGTTCTGGTTAAAAAAGAAATCAAAATAGATACCACTTTTGAGCTAAAGCTTGAGGAAACTGTATTTCTAAATGCTCTGTTGTTGTCATTGATTGTCTTCATTTCTAACTTACGGTAACCCTAAGGCAAACCTATCATGGGGGTTTCTTGGCATGATTTGTTCAGAGGGGGCTTGCCATTGCCTTCGTCTGAGGCTGAGAGAGTGTGACTTGCCCAAAGTCACCCAGAAGGTTTTCCATGGCAGAGCAGGGATTAGAACCCTGGCCTCCAGAGTCCTAGTCTCAACACTCAAACTATGACACTACACCACACTGTAGAAATAATGTAGTTTGACACCACTTTAACTGTCATGGCTTCAACCTACAGAATCCTGGGATCTGTAGTTTTGTGAGGCACCAGCACTCTTTGACAGAGAAGGCTAAAGATATTGCAAAACTACATATTTTGGGATTCTGTAGGTTGGAGTGATGTCAAACTGTATTATTTCTGCAGTATAGATGCTATGGCTACTCAGAAATAAATCCCACTGAGTTCAATCAGGCTTCCTCCAAGTTATTGGGCATAGGGTTGCAGCCTCAAAATCTAAGTAAAAGAAATCATCAACCACTAAGTTTTAGTCAATTATTCTATATCGGAGAGTAGTGGAGTCTCCTTCCTTGGAGGTCTTTAAGCAGAGGCTGGATGGCCATCTGTTGGGGATGCTTTGATTGGGAGTTCCTGCATGGCAGGGGGTTGGACTGGATGGCCCTTGTGGTCTCTTCCAACTCTATGATTCTATGATTCTATGATATTTTGTTGTTGTTAACTGCCATTGAGTCAATCTTGGCTCATGGCGACCCTATGGATGAGACATCTCCAAGACCCTCTGTCCTCTACTGCTCTGCTTAATTCCTGCAGCCCCATACCCGTGACCTCCTTATATATCCTGTGTATATTTTGCCTCTGCTCTAACACAAAGCACCGTGTCTATATGCTGTGCAATTCTACACAGGTCCATTGAGACTCAGGTCTTACTGCTGTATGTTCAATGGAGCCTACTCTGAGCTTCTGTCAGCCTGGTGCACTCCAGATGAATTGGACTTCAACACCTATCATTCCCTGACAGGAATGGCCAGCAGGTTGGGTAAACAGGTAGTATACACCCATACACCTGCAGCAGTCTCAATAGCTTTTGTACATTTTAATTCCCCTCTCTCTCATGGTGTCTTCCAGTATGCCAATACTTTCCAGTCTCTTGAAGTGGCTGCCTCACTCTGCCTAACAGCCAGGCAGATCCTAAACAAAACTCCCTTTCAAACCTTGTTGTTTAACATGGGAAAATATAAGCTGAGAGACGTGGGACCATTGAATGTTCTGGCAGGACTAGGATGCACAGCCTCACACCCTGATCATACTGTCAGTGACCCCACATCCATTTGAATAGCTTCCAGACTCCTCTTTCCTCCAAAAAAATTTTTTTTTTGGGGGGGGGGGAATAATTGTCTCCACTAAAACATGGTGAACTTTCCATTAAAGCAAGATGAATTAATGCAGAGATGTCCCCATTAAAAAAAGCTGACTTCTCCATTGAAACAAGGTACACACACTATGCACTCTTTGGACTTTATCACATGGGGAAAATCCTGTGCAGAAACAGGGTTCTAAATTGAAAAAAACCCACAAAAGCGGGTTGATTTTCACACGATATTGTTGTTAAACTGTTGTTAACTCAAACGGAAAGTAGTCAAAAGATGCTTCTTTTCACTTTTAGAAAATCCTGAAAGTAAAAAGGAGATGCTTTTGACTACTTTCTGTTTGGGTTAGCAAAAGTTTAACATTGTATGTGGAAATCAACCCATTTTTGAGGTTTTCCCCAGCTTTTAAATCCTGTTTCTGCATTGGATTTCCCCTGTGTGATAAAGTCCTTTGTTTTATGAAACCAAAACTGGACTTCATACTTCTGGGAGAAGTTGCAATCTACAATACTTCTTAGGATGCATGTGAAAAATGTATTCCCTTGGGCCCCGACATTGCCCCTCTTCAGCTGATTTTTTAGGCTGAACACTTGAGTAGCAGGACTAGGCAAGGATAACAAAAAGTGTGTCAAAAAAAAAGCTGTTCCGCTCTCCCTACAAAAAAAAAAAAAAGCCAGGGAGCAATCCATTAAATGTATTCATTTAGTTATTTTCACACAATTCTCAGCCACTCCCAAATCATTTTTAAATCAGGGGCCCACTGACCTGCAAAGCACTTGTTCCTGGAGGCAGACCAAGCATCACCTCAGCAGGGCATCTTTCCTTAGGAACATCACCAGCTAACCAGCTAATGGGCAAGTTCAAGTATTGATCCATCTTGTTCAGTTATGTGGCATAGCCACTCTAGGGTTCCTGATATGATAGCCCTGTTTAAATATTTGAAGGGATGTCATATTGAGCATAGAGCGAGCTTTTCTTCTGCTGCTCTGAAGACTAGGACATGGAACAATGGATGCAAATTACAGGAAAAGAGATTCCATCTAAACATTAGGAAGACCTTCCTGACAGTGAGAGCCATTCGACAACAGAACACACTCCCTTGGAGAGTGGTGGAGTCTCCTTCTTTGGAGGTCTTTAAACAGAGACTGGATGGCCATCTGTCAGGGTGCTTTGTGTATTCCTTCATGGGAGGGGGTTTGAATGGATGGCCTTTGAGGTTTCTTCCAACTTTAAGATTCTATGATTCCCAACAGCAGCTTTTCCCAGCCCTACCTGGAGACAGTGATAGAGAGGAACTAGGAACCTTTTGCATGCAAAATGTGTGCTCTGCTACTGAGCTATAAGAAATCTTAGCAGGATTAAATGCCATCTATCTGCAGACAACCATTGACTGTTCATCTCAGTGTAGTGCACACTGTTCCATACATCACTATACTATTGGCTTCGGTCTTTAAATTGCTCAGTATCCAACCGCAGGTATTCCAACGCACTTTCCTTGATGGAGCTGCTCAGTGCTTAAGGTACTTGAAAAACAGGAGTTGATGGGGTGAAGGAAGAGGAAGAGAGGGAGAAATAATTGTGTGTTTTTGTTTTTATATTTAACTAGCCAGATAAACACATCTCCAGTCAGCAAGCCATCCACTTTCTGTGTTGGAGTAATTAACCTATTTGCATGAATTAGATTTCAATTAGCATATATTAGATTTCAATTAGCAATTAGCAGAGAATCCATTCCTTTGTACTGCAGAATACAAAACATTTTTCTCCTATTTTCTTTCTCCTCCTTCCTTCTATAACATTCTTGCAGGCAAAGGATCTCCCCTCCCCACACCAAAATCAGGTAATTATGGAGCGAGAATGTGGGGTTTTTTTCTTCTTCTTCAAAGAAGCCACCCGGTTTTACCTTTATTCTGCCTGCTGCTGACACCCTACATGGAATGTGTGCTAGTTCAGAGGAACACTACTAGTTCAGAGGCAGACAAATATTAAAATTGTCTTTTGTTTTTACAAGGATTCCATATTGCCTCTTTCTAGGATTTGTAAATTTTGTATAACCTTGGCCATGCATTTGGATGTTGTTACATGTTTTAGGTCAATGGATATTCCTCCTCCCAAATTAGCACACACCTTTTATTCTGGAAAATGTTGCATATTTTAAGGTCATGGTCTTTGTTCCAGGACATCTGAAGCACAATGGTGCCCCTTATTGCTCTCTCTGCCTTTCTCACACACACACACACACACACACACACCAGCTCCTTTCCAAACCCTATTCTTTCCCCAGTTCTTAAAAGCACTATCATGCATTTGACATTTTGATCTAGCAACATGAGATGTAGTGTGGTGTCAGACCAGGACTCCAGGAGACTGGGGTTCAAATTCCTGCTTGGCCATGGAAACCCACTGGTTGACCTTGGGCAAGTCACACCTTCTCAACCCCAGAGGAAGGCAATAATAAACCTCTTCTGAAAAAAATGCTACTAAGAAACCCCGCATATGTTAACCTTAAGGGCTCCATGTCTCAAAATGACTTGAAGGCACACAGCACACACACTATAACATGCATCTTGCATGCAAGACATAGTTCCCTTACCAAACATTTCTTGTTTCCATTTGTTTGTAATAATAATATAAAAATCTACATCATTCATTAGTTTTCTCTCCAGTTTTCTGAACCCTCCCCAACATGGTTCCCTCCAGACATGACGGAGACAACTGTTGTCCACAGCTATGGCCTTCCTGTTTGGGGGTGATGAGACTTGTAGTCCAGCATATCTGGAGGGTGCCAGTTTAGTGGAAATGTGGTAATGAAAATACCCAGGTATTTATGTAAATAAAAGGCTTACTTATTAGCATGAATTATTTGGAATCAGTTCTCCAAAGGTCAGAAAGTTGCTCTATATACTAAGGTATAGTATTCTATAGTATTAGTATTACAAAGTAGTCAGTGCTAAACATATTTCTACTCCATCCTCCAAGGCCATGAGAGGCTTAAATTATTTATCTTCTTAATGACCCTGTGAAGTAAATAAAGGCTGAAATTATAGCTTGTCTAAGACTGGTCACGGAAGTACGTGGCTGAGAAAGGCATATTGACCTTCCAAATCTTCTCCACTTCTATCCCACTTGCTCCATCACATTTCATCACTCCGGGGAGTCATTTATGAAAAGTTTCCCCCCATTGCCACAGACTTATAAGATTGTGAAGTCGAAGGCTTTCACAGCTGGCATCCATAGGTTTTTGTGAGTAAAAGAAACATCTGAGTTTGTGAAGGAAGACAGTCTTCCCTTTCAGGCACACATGGGGCAACAATTCCCATCATATACCACCAGCATAAATGGGAGATGATGGGAAATGTAGCCCAGCTCTTTTGGCAAGCGTTAGTCTGTGCAGAGCTGGAACAAGGCTATCACCTGTACAGAAGCAAGAGCATCAGTCCCAACAGATACCACCTACCTAGTCCATAGAGGTATTTTACTCCATGGAATGGGGCTCTTCGATCTAAAGTCTTTGTTGTCTGTCTGTTATTGCCTGCTCCTGATGCACACAGAGACCCGAACCCACTTCTGCCTCCAAGGTCTGGCTCCTACACAGGCACATCAGTCACTGCCATCACTGCACCAACAAGCAAGCAGGTGTGCAGATATCACAACCAAGGGAGGCAAGAGCTTTGCTTTCAGCTCACTTCACGTGAAATGGCACCTGCACTTTCCCACTGAGGCAGCTTCCATCCTCAAGGCCAAACGGAGGATCTGAACCCAGCCCCAGTTGCCTAGAAAGAGCAGGGAAGCAAAATGCAGATGGGTGTCTAGTTTTACATTTTGGGAGGGGCAGAACAGGGTAGAAGTCATGA